TTTTGAGACTTCACCCCCCTGAAAGCCACGGGAGGCTCAGACAGAAACGTGTACAAAGACCTCCTGCAGCAAAGGAGGACTGGAAAACAATAGCAGGGTGAGTGAAAACCAGTGCTGCATCGCAGCAGGTCTGGGTCTGGCCTGGCAACGTCACCAGTGCTGCGATACCAGGTGCGGCAATGGCTTTGTCCTGAGCATCACAGCACCCGTTTCCCTGCCTGTGTCAGGGGTCCTCTCTCAGGTCACGTCCTTTGGCACCCCAGTTCAGGTACCCCTGAGCTGAGCACAGGTTGGTTTGCCCTGCACGCTTCAGCTATCTCTCTGCTCCTGCTCTTGGACACGGCCGACTTCCTCAGTCTCACCTCTGCTTCCCCGGCACGGCCGGCGCTCTCCACCTGCAGCACTGGCACCGGAGGAGCTCGGTCCCATCGTTGGATCACTGCAGAAATAACACGTGCAGCAGCGAGGGACGAGTCTCAGCAGGGAAAGCCTGGGCATGCAACACAGCAGATCACAATCAGAAGAAAGAACCTACAATCAGAAGAAAAAAAGATGCGTGCTTCAAAAGGAGATAAAATTGGCGCCTCTTTGGAATAGCGATGGGCGAATTCAAACAAGTTTGGTGTGTTAGCACTCCCCGAGTCCTCTCCCACAGTGTCTGGAGGGCTCAGCCCACCACCAACTGCTGGGCGCCGCGGGAGGGCAGGGGGCGAAGGACCACCACCAGCAAAACGAAAACGCGAGGAAATCTGCAGGCAGAAGAATGGATTTACCCGTCTTGTGACTAGGTTGTAACCCCAGGGCCAAGGGTGGCTGGAGTCTGTTTCGACAAGCCGGATTATGAGTCTGCACTGGTCACATCCCCTCTGCATCCCTCTGCACACCTCGAAAAATCCCCCCTTGGTTTCCTCTAGCAATCCTGGCTCCCCTCGTTTGCGACGTCGAGGCGTGAGCCAGCTACGTATGACCTCACTAGAAAAACTCCCGCTGACTCCTTAAACTAACGTTAATCATTTACCTAGCCCCGTTTCAAACCCTCCGGCGCTGGGCCAGCACACACGGTAGTCTCGTTGCGTTAAAGCGTTAACGTGTCCGAACCGCTCTCGTGATGAGCAAGTTGGCTCCTGCCGACGGCGGTTTCGTGAGTTTGAGGAGCTGCTGCCACCCTGAGTCATTGCCACACCTGGCTGCGGCGAGAGGTGTCCGAGTCAGCCCGTGGCACAGACGTAACAGGCGGCCGTGCCTCAGCAGTTTATTTAATAAACTAGTGGTTTTGTGTTGGGGTTTTTTTTTTCCTATTTTAAGTATTTTACAGCATAAGGTGACAGGGAAGCCCGACTCGGAGAACAGCATGGGCTTGGCGTTTTATGTAGTGCTCATAGCATTTGGGAAAATGATCTTCTGTGTACTAAATATCTGAGTCATCCCTGGGAGAGACCTACATCCACATTTAAATGTTACCATGTACTTGTCCTTAGCCACAGCTTATAAGGAAAGCAGTCATTTAAATTACCAGGAAGAAGCTCACGCTGCTGACTGTTCCTCTTCTCTCTCTGGGCTTTGGAAACTTCAGTGAAAACCAAAAGGGGTTTTTATGCTCTTAAGTTATTCCACCTTTTCAACTAATTAAACTTATGATCAGTCTGAGGTTGGTCTGTGACCGCCTGCCGTGGTCTGGGTGCGAGGCGGTGGGAGCGGAGCAGGGGAGGCTGGCGGGAAGAGCTGGGGTCAGCACCGCACGATCCTCATGCAGCCTTTTCTAGCAAAGCCCATTTCCTGGAAACCGAGCAGGACTCACGTGCTGGTGTGTTTGGACGCGGTTGTAAAGGTCAATATTTACCAGAAAGATCCCCTGCTGTCACACTACCTGTGAGCTCACGTGAGGAGAAACTTTGCTGTGCAGAAATTCCAACTCACTCGGCATGAGGGGACCCGGGTCGGGGGGAGACTGCCAACTACGGCAGCAGGGCGAGCCGGGGAGAGGTCTAGCACTGCCGACAAACAGCCTGCAAACGGCACCGGTGCCCAAAACGTCACCTGCCTGGAAAGCTCCTAAAGGGACGCTCCAACCTGCCTGCGCTGGGCTGTAAGACACCGACACCCAAATGCACACCGAGCCACCGCCAGGTCAAAACCACCTCGGCAGAGCGAGATAACAACACGTGGGTGCTCACGAGACATCCTGGCAGAGCAAGTCACGCTGGTAGCACCGAGCTGGAGAGCTGCCGGATGGCACAGGGCATCACCTGCCTTCCCCAGACCCTCGGTCCTGGTTGCGCCGGCCGACGGCTGGGGGAGCCTGGCAGCGCAGAGCTCGTCTGACACAGGCTGGGCGATCCCCGGTTGTTTAATCATCCTCTCCCGCTCCGGCCAGCTGAGGTCTGTGGCCCCCACCGCAATCTGGCACGGCACACGGGTGACAGACACCCATCGTCTCCCCTCCGAGGAGGGGTCGGACATGGCGGACCCACGCTCAGTGCTGGGAGGGCTGCGGGGGCTCAGCAAGGCATCGCTTCTCAGGAGGATGGGAAGGAGCCGGGCGGCTCTCCTCACCCTTGCACCACCTGCACGTGGGGGTGTCTGACCCCTTGGAGTCACAGCGGCGGGACCTAAGCTCTTGCAACCCTCTGGGTGGGAGCAGGCCTACAAAAGCAGCTGCTGCATTTGCTTTATCCGAATGGACAAAGGATCTGTGCAGGCTGACGTCCAGATGGGACAGAGCACTCACAATGTCAAATAAAAACCCCAAAACAACAACAACAAAAGAACAAAACCACCCCTCCTCTGCACTGGCATCCAGCAGGAGAGATGTTTCCTGGGCTCTTCTCCAGGCGAGGGCAAGCCCAGCTGGGAGGATGCGTGCTGGGAGACGCGGGGGATCACTGCCCAGTCTGTTTATCAGCCGCTGGGCTCTGGCATCGCTCAGCATGTTAACGTGGGAAGATGAGAACAGGACTGAGCACGGCTGAGCCACAGCTGCTCTGCTTTAACCTCTGCCAGTGCCTGGTCAGACCTCGACTCCCATGGAGCCCCCAGCCACGTCGCAGCCACGAGAAGCCGCTGGTGAGCAGCCACAGCTCAGCCGGGAGCCCGGGGACCCGGAGCTGGCTGCCTTTTGGCTCGCTGCGCAGCTGATGGAAGACTCCAGCCCACGCCCCAGATCCTGCCTTGCTGGTGAGAAGGGCAACAGGCTCCAAGGGCAACATGAGGTGTCCTGAGACCCCGAGCTCAGCCACAGTGCCCCACGGGCACTTCCATCTCAGGACTGAGGTCTTTTATCACAAAAAATACACAGAAAAGGCACCTCTTTCTCTGGAAAAATTACCCAACTGAGCCAGCATCCAAGATTCTTGCCAATACTACCCTCATTTTCCCTCCCTCCCCCCGACTCTCACAGTAAATACGTATTTCAAGAAGCCAGGGTGGTGTGGACAGAGAACGGGAGGCAGTTCCTACACTAACAACCCTCCATTCCTGTTCTCCTTTAGGCCAGGGACATGAAATCCCCAGCGCTGAGTCAGGACTAACTGCAATGCAGCAGGACAGGAATCCCTCGAGGAGCCGCGGCCAATGCCGGAGGCTCCGGCTGCTCCAGCCTTTGACCCATCAGCGCTGGGTGTCCTACCTCGCGCTCTGCCTTGGAGAAAAGCACCGCGCTGCAGCAGTACTTGGTTTCTCACAGTACTCCGATGGAAACCCTCCTCGTCTCCTGCCCTAGCTGCTCTTGGACCGTGCCATCGGCACTTTGCTACTGCCAAGGGACTCAGAGTAAGTCACGCTTGGGGACTGAGCGTGGAATAAAGCAGCTCAGCAGGGCAGAGGTTAGACCTGGTGATAATTGAGCATTGGCAAGGGGAGTTACGGTGCAGCCTCCTTTGTAGGATTTCAAGGCCAGGCTTGACAAAGCTGCGGGGGGATTGCCAGGATCAGTCCTGGCTCAACGCAGAGGTGCAAGCGAGGGGTCCCCTCTGCTGCTTTTCAGCCATTTGCTTCTTTTTGTCCCTGGCTGAACTGACCCAGGGCAATGTCAGGATCACTGAACTGCTTCATCCCCAGAGCCCAAAACCGGGGTGAGACGGTTGCAAGTCTGGGATCGCCAGCTGCAAGTCTGCAGAGCCAGGCAGGTGCAAGCAGACGTCCAGGGACTCCGGAGCTCCGGAGCAGCCAGGAGGAGCGGAAAGGCAAGCGCTGCCCCCAGGATCAGCCCCGTTCATCCAGCCCCCATGGATGAACAACTTGTCAGTGCAGCAGGAAGAGCCCAGGACATGTCTGTGGGCAGCAAGGGGAGGTTAAAATCCCCTCTTGTACCCGGTTATGTCAGCCTTCCTCGCATGGGGGAAGTGTGGGGCCACTTCCACATAGCACATGTTTCAGAGTGCTTTTAACAGCTCCTAGCCGGGGGGGGAAATATTCTGCTTTTGAACCACAAATTCCTGGCAACTACTCAGCTAAAAAAAGAGCTATAAAAAAGCCAAACTCATTCAAGGCAGATGCAGGCTATGTGTCATCATTGCTACGGGCTGGAAAATGCCCGAGAGGGTCACCCTTGTTGACTTCCCTAAGTGACATCTGCAAGGCTTAAAAAAACCCCGCCTGCAGTCAGCACAAGTGCCCCAAGGCGCGGCTCTTGGCTGACCAAGCGCCTCTTCGCTTGCCGCAGCATCTGGCCGGGTCTGGGGACAGACCCAGGGCTCAGGGTGACACGGTTGGGTTGACCCAAGAGATGTGAGCTTCACCCTGGCCGCGCTGGCGGCAAATCCCAACGCAGAGAGGCTACATCCCGCTCACACGCGGCCTTGCCGTGGCTCACGGAGGCTGGTTTCGGTGTGCTGTTGTGTCATGGGGATGGCTGGGGTTGTGTGATCATGGGGTGAAGCACGTGCGAAAAGCAGGTAAGGGTGAGCAGAGTCGGAAGATGATGGTCTGGGACTCGCAACACCACCTCTCTCCTCCAAATGAGACTAGGAAAGGACTCTGGTGACAGAGAATCGTATAATAAAATAACTTCTTTGGTTTCTTTCTTTAGAAAACATCTCTCACACATGGTATAAAAACAGGTAGTTTAGAAATAAATTTAAAGCTGGCTGTACCAGTGACTCCAGGGGCATCCCACACCCAACGTGTGTCTCAGCAGTAAACTCCTTTCTCAAAACAAAGCATGACAAACAAATGCAAATGAATCCTCTGTGGGAAATACTGTTAAATAACTAAAAAAAACCCCAACAAAAACAAACCCACACAGTTTAAAACAAAGCCAGACAGTTGTCTAAAAAGGGGGAGCTGGGTTCTTCCCCAGAAAAAATGACCCTGGCCGCACGTTTCTCTTCTGATAAAACATTGACCCTTGCTGAGTGCTGGAAAATCCGCGGCCGGCACCCAGGGAGCTCCCAGCCCGGCCACTGGCGCAGGGATGCTGCTGCTCACCGCATCCCGTCCCGGAGGCAGCGATACAGCCGCACGCAGAGCAGGACCCACCGCAGCTGGCACAGCACACTTCAGCTCTGACCCATCACTCATCTCTACGCTGCATTTCTAGTTAGGTTTGGAAAGATTAATAAATTAATGAAGCCACAGAAGAAAAACAAAACAAAACAAAAACCACCCGAAAAGTTCAGTTCATTTTCTCAATGCAGGAGGAAGCGCTCGCGGACCTTCTCCTCGACGGAGTGCAGCTTGGCAGCTCGCAGCGCATCCAGCAGCTCCTTGGTGACCTCGTAGTGTCCCTCTTTCAGGTGGGTGAGGAAAGCCCTGAACTTCTCCTGGATGGCTGCCCTGGTCCCCAGCGCCTGCTTCCTCGGCGAGCGCTCCAGGATTTGCTGCAGGCGCTTCAGCTTTCTGATGGGGATGTTCTGGTATGCCACAAAATCTATCATGGCTTGCTCACAGTCGTCGTCTCCTAGAGCTGGTGGAAGAAAACCGCCTGGAGGTTAACGGGAAGGTGACCGTGGGACACCAGGAGAGCAGGTCACAGCCCTACTGAGCCTCTCCGTGGGACATCTGCCCAGAGAGGCGGTGGGTGCCCCATCCCTGGAAACATTCAAGGCCAGGCTGGACAGGGCTCTGAGCAACCCGATCTAGTTGAAGATGTCCCTGCCCGCGGCAGGGGGGTTGGACTAGATGGCCTTGAGAGGTCCCTTCCCACCCAAACCATTCCGTGAGTCTATGACATTGTCCTCACCTGGGCACTGCTCTCCAGCCACGGCTCGGACCGGGGGTCCCAGCCCAGTGAGCCCCGCCGGGAAACCTGCCCCTCACAACCCATCTTCCAGATTCGGGAGGGTATTTTAGCTCACACGGCCACGTACATCCATGAACACGAGCTGGGGACCGCCTGCCCAGCTCTGCCCATGCAGGCGGGTGCCCAGGCAGAGGGCGAGCCCCTGCCCAAGGATGCAGCAGCACCTGGCTTCCAGCAGGCTCACCCTTTGCCTAAGTCAGGGGGGAAGAGGGAGGACAGGCGGCTCGCGCCGCCGGCAGGTACGCAGTGGAACAAACAGGTCAGAATAAGCGTTTTGCAAGTGGCAAAAGTGAGGTTGGAAGGAAGAAGAAGGAGGAAAGCACCAAATACAGCACCGTGAACTGGCCAAGGCCCGTCTCTGCCAGCCAGCTGCCCTGGAAGGCGGGGAAGGCTGGATTTCCCAGCAGCAGCCCTTCCTATGCAGGGCAGTTAGAAAACAACGTGTAAAAGTTCCTTTAATTTTGAAAAAAGTAAATATACCTTTTCCCATGCTCCTCCCTGCTGGGGAATAGGGGAAGAGGGAAACTCCAGAAAAACTGAAATAATCGCAGTAAGTATTTACACACGTTATTTTTCCTGAAAGTTTCTATTTTCCCCATGCACATTCTTACATCTCGGGACAGGACAAGCCCCAAGCGCAGCCCCGACCAGGGCTTTTGGACAGACCCAGGTCCCAGCTGGTGAAAGCGCTGCTGGAGCGTGTCCAGCATAAGGAATGAAATCACAAAGAATTTTCAAGACCTCAAGGCCAAGCGATTACTCGGTCAAGAAAAGACTAGTCCGGTTTTGTGCCATTGTAAACGGGGAACGGTTTCACTGGTTATAGTGGGGTGGGTCGGGCTCCCTTGCCCAGACTCTGCCTCTCCTGCAAACTCGGGGTTTATACTGAATTGCTCCTGCAATTGCCGTTGCAGCAGGGAGGAAGGCAGGAGCCCACGTGCCTCCCCAGTGAAATCATGACAAACTAGAGTTAAAAATACCCCTCGGCTCCCATTGCTCACGGGTCTCCTCTCGCTCTATAAATAGCTGAAAGGCCGTTCTGGCCACGGGTGCCGTGGCCTAACGAGCCGCAGCACACGTGCTGCTGACGCTGCTCTCACCTGACCGGCCCCCCCCCTCCCCGGGACGGCATCCCGCTGACGACAGAGCTTTCCATCTCCTCTCTCCGGTGGGATCACGCTCCTGGCGAGGAGCTCGTGACATGAGTCAGGCTTCGTACGGAGAAGTGCCCCGCGCCGGCTGTGCCGGGAAAGGATGGAAAGGCAAGAGCTCTTCTCGCACGCTGCCGGGGGGAACAGCCTCCTTGCTGTGTCACCACGGAGGAGAAGCTCTTATTGAAGCTCAAGCTTCGTCTTGATGGAAGAAATTAATTTTTTTACAGTGAGAAGAGTCGATCACTGGGACAACCTCCCCAGGGACGCAGTGGAGTCCCCATCGCTGGAGGTTTTCAGGACATGGCTGGACAGGGTGCCGGATAATCTCATCCAGGCTCCCTTCCCCATGAAAGGTTGGACCGATGAACTTTCAAAGTCCCTTCCAGCCTGGGCTGTTCTATGGCGCTACGATTGATTATTAATTTTTTCTTTTTTTTGGAAGTCCAAGGGTGCAGGTTCACCGGCACCCAGATCAGTCACGTTGAATTTGTCTCCCATGTATCTTGGCTGGATGCTCAGGGTAAGAGTGGGTGGTTCGGAATGGCTGCCTGCCTCACCTCAACTGACATCAGGCCCCCGAGATGGTTTTCAGTCCCTTTCTCATCCCCTAACTTGTTGGGGTGCATGTTACAAAGCACCCCCGGAGCCAGCCCATCGCTGTCCCCTGCTCCTTTGCTCTGTGCTTTTGCCAAGAAAGGTTGGACCAGATGACCCTTGAGGTCCCTTCCAGCCTGGTATTCTATGATCTGTGCCCGCTGGCGGCTCCTGCCCAACCTTCAGCCTCCGCCGAGGCTCAGCGCTATGTTTGCACTATCATGGTGACACAGTTGACACCACGTCTCTATTTTTTCACCTAACAGGTCAAAATCCACCCTATATCAGCTCCAATGAACCTCGGACTCTGCTCCATTCAACCTGCACGAGACAAGATTGCGGCCGCAATAAAAGCTTCCTGGAAAACAGGCTGAAAGTCCGGGAGACGTGAGCGCAGGAGGCATGCCAGGAGCCGAGCTGGGTGGCACAGCCCTTCACACCACATCTGTTTGCATGACCGCCAGCCACCGGTTATCACTGCGAGCTATCAGTTACAGCCGAACGGCTGCCAAAACTGTCCTCGTGTCCCGGCATCCCCAGTTATCCCAGTCCCTGGTAAGAGCTGGCAGGACTTCACTGCCAGATCTTTGTTCTGGCTGAGCAGTGGCCGTTGCTTAAGCCCTGTACCCTGCCCCTGCCCTACATGACCGACCCTGGAGGGGGAGGACGGCAGACAGTCTGTATTTTGTCCATAATTACTATTAATTATGGATCACTCCATACTTTTACAAGCTGTTTCACCTCATTTTGCATCTAAGTAGAGAGAAGTCACCAGAAAGTGTGTTCTCGCCCTGGCAGCTTCGTGGTCCCGGCATCCCCCCTCCGCCCGCAGAGCCGTGGCTCACCTGGTCCCTGCGTGCTGTTGCTTCTCCCCAGCCTGCAGGAGGTGCAGAGGGTGTCGTGATACTGGTTGCCCTGCACGTTGGTCACCTTCCCCTGCTGCTCGCAGTCCTGGTGCGGCTGGCACGGCTTGGTGCTGGAGTTGGAGGAAGAGAAGAAGCCGCGGGGGCAGGCACGGCACCGGGTGTTCTCGAAGGGGGTACCTGCGCGCGGGGAGGCAAGGGGACCGTCAGCCTACCCCTCCCCAGCCACACTCCTCTGCGGTGACGAGCTGGCAAGGGAGCAGGGGCTGGCGCTGGGGCCGATGCCGGCAGGGCAAGGAGTGCCCGACACCAATTCGAGCACGAGGGTGATGTTTTGGAAATGATCGCTGCTTGCAACTCCCCTGGGAAGCGTGCATCCGCTTGTAGGGCACACAGCAACGCTTTCCCCAGTCGTCTCCCAAGCCAAAGCTTTTGGCACGTGCTGATAAATTGCCGCCAGCCTCCTGACACCACCCTAACCCACCCAGATCCCATCTGCTACTGAAGAGGGCCACCTCCTGGGTAGGAGACACCAGCTGGGACGATGGGTGAGCTGAGTGCCAGACCAGCCCTTTGATTCACAGCAGAGTCAGGAAGCTCCTGGCCAAGTGAAAGTAAAAGTCGCTGAGAAGGTGAAAGCTCTGCTCGCTTTTGCAGCGCTGCAGTTTCCCACCCAGGCTCCGGGCCAGACCCGCTGCTGTTTCACAGGCACGGAGCCACGTGAGCGAGATCGCACCAGGGTGTCTTGCACATTCCTTGGGAGAAGAAGGAACGGCCCTGACGGGAGCATTCACACCCCTTTTCATCTCCTCTTCGCATCATTAGTTAAAAACAAGGTTTCTACCCTGTTGCAACCCACTCCGGGCCAGACCCGCTGCTGTTTCACAGGCACGGAGCCACGTGAGCGAGATCGCACCAGGGTGTCTTGCACATTCCTTGGGAGAAGAAGGAACGGCCCTGACGGGAGCAAATTTCACACCCCTTTTCATCTCCTCTTCGCATATCTAGTTAAAAACAAGGTTTCTACCCTGTTGCAACCCACTTTAGGCCGTCGCCTTGGCTTCGCTGGGAGATGTCCTAGCCGGCCCAGCTGATGAACCCAACACCCGAGTCAATATTTGCAAATGGGAAATCCACAAAAGCCCACGTCCCCGGAGGAACCGCACACGGATCAAAGCACCCGTCCAACCCCAAGGCCAGCGAGGTCTGCCCACAGCCCTGCAATCACAGGGTCCACATCGTCCCCGTCCAGACACAAGCGCTCACAGCCCCAGGGCTCTGCCCACCCACGCTGGATATTTGGTCCTTGCGGTGGGGTTCAGATGTCTGGGCTGGGGTGCCATCATTCCCCACACAAGAAGCCATTTGTAAATAAATAATAATAATAACAAAAAATTAACTTCTCCTCAAATGCCCCAGCTTGCTCACATGGCTCCTCAGTCCTACAGCCAACCCTCCAGCCAAATTTGATGTTTAATTTCAAAGGGTTTCCCCGTGTTGTTTGAAGACCTAATTCACCATTGCTGCATGACTGCATTTTGTAACGGTCACGTCCTATAGAAAAATTAAACCCCAAACCTCAACCATAAGCATCAACTGAAGACAACAGGTATTCCTCCTCCGGCCTGCAAGCCTGGAGCTCTTCTGTGCCGTGCATGGAAGGACTTCAAAAGCCTCCGCATTTGAAAGCATCAAGCAAGATAATGCTGGTTTTGCTGATGCTGCCCAGGCTGTTTTATTATAACCAGCTGTAGTTTCCAGGCAGAGCCCGGTCCTCGGTGATTCAGAGGAGAGTGAGGGGGAAACCTGCTCGCAGGCAACTTGTATTTTTAGAAAGTTTGCACACATACAAATGGGGGCAACTAAGGGACCAGACAAATCTGTGCTGAGGAAACAACAGAAAAATAAACCCCCTAAAATCTCTCGTGACTTACATCTCGCCAGGGGATGGAGTCTCGGACTCGTGAATCTCCCTCAGACGTGAATCGAAACAAGGCTGATTTTATTGCTTTGGAACCTGTCCATGTATCCATTTCATGTTTTGAACACAGCCTCTCAAAATTGCTCAATAAAAACTGCAAAACCCAACCCCAGAGCTACACACATTCACCAGCCCTGCCCTTGTATCATTAGCAGCCCTTTTCGGTCCAGATAATTAGCATTCCCTACTCCCTGGCTACCTGCCTGCAAGGAGAAGGGAGCTGACAGAGGAGCAGGAGCCGCTCGGACCTTTCCACCTGCCGAGAGCCCTGGCAGGGCGAGCTGCTGCTCCAGGGATGGGTGAATCACGGCCCGGCTCTGCCTGCTGCGGCAGGTGAAGCAGGCAACCAGGACTGCCGGGTCCCATCTAAGCGTGGTGCTGCGGGATCTCAAAGGCTTTCAAAGCGAAAGCGGGGGAAAACCCAAACAAACCGTTCCTTGGAAAAGAGGCCAGGAGCAGTTTCACACGCCAGCAAGGACAGCACTGCGCTGGTAAGCAAAAAGGGAGTAAAGTCAGGCTCTGGGCAATCATCAGCTGCTTTCTCCTCGATTTTTAGCTCCAGCAGAGATTTCGGGATGAAAAGAGCCTCGCAAGCTCGCACACCACTGCCGCCTGGCTAGGCTACTTACCCAGTTTGTCTACGCCGGAGCCCGGCGGACACTCGGAGTGCCTGATGCAGAACTCCATCTCCGAGTAGTAGCCCTCCTGGCACTGACAGACGCGGTTGTGGGTGGAATTGCACTGCTGCACCTCCACCTGCTTCTCCTCGCAGATGACGTTACAGTACCGGCACTTCTCCAGGTAGTTCCAGTACTGAGTGTAGTGCAAATCCGGGCAGGGTTCGCACACCGTCTGTCTGTCCCTGGTGCAGTGCTGTGCCACGAAGGTCCCCGGCGGGCACTGCTGGCAGGTGAGCTTCTCGTTTGTCACAGCATCTTTCCACTGGTAAGTGGGCTGGGCGCCGCAGCCGAGCTCAGCCAGGAAGAGGAGGAGAGGGGCAAACATCCACTACAGCAAAGACAGTGCAAAGAGCCCTTAGCTCGGCCTCTCGCAGAGGCAGAAGCAGCAAACGCAGCTGCTGCGTTACAGCGTTCGTTACCGTCGTAGATGCAAGAAATTATTCTCCCACCTCATGCTCTCCCCCTGCCCCAGCAGCAAAGCAACGGTGGTACCGGGGACCAGCCGCTGCCCCCCACGTGCCTCCCCATCGCCCTCCGCTTGCCATCCCAGGTGACAAAGCATCCTTCCCAAACGATGCTTCTCAAACCCATTTTGTGGTGCCTTCGCAACCCCATTTCCCTTTTTTGGTACTAAAAGCAGCTCTAGCGCATTCTCCTCCTTTCACCCCAGTCAGTTCCCCACCATTTGGGGCAAGCCCTTTGCAGGTCAAGAAGCAGAAGGGAAGTTTTCCAAACTAGCAAGTACATTGCGTGCTCCATAGGAACTCTCAACTTTTTTGGGAAACCCAGATCCTTGGCATAGGACCGGAGAACCCCAGAGTCTGGTTTATCCTCCCTTTCCTTGTCAAAGCGTGCCTGCCCAACCTGAAGAGCAGACGGGACGTTACCTTGGATGGATGCCTTAAATTCGGCACGTGGCAGGATAGCATAGCACCGAGGGCTTCCGAGCGCCACGATCAGAAACCTGGGGAGGCAGAGGGGGCTCCTCCGAGGCTGGCACCGGCTCCGAGGACAGCGGCTGAGTCGGAGCTCCTCTCTGCAGCAGCAGCGCTGATCTAGCCGTCCAGCTTTAAAGCAGAAAGAGAGAGAGACGGGCGAGGACTGTTATGAAAGGCTGGGTTTTCTCACCTGCTTTTCAAACAGTCCTTCCTCCGGGGGAGGTGCCGGCGCTCCCCAGCCCAGGGACAGAAGCAGAGTCTTACAGCGCGGCGGCGAAGCGGTTCGCCGGTGGAAGGCTGCGACCCCGCTCCTGACGCACTCATCGCCCCGACGTGCGTAAGCGCTCCCGGCTCCAGCCCGGCGACAGGCGGGACGCGCAGCAGCGGCCAAGGAGGGGGCAGAAGCGGGCGGGGTGGCGGAGCAGCGGCCGAGGCCCTCCCCATCCCCATCCCCATCCCCATCCC